GTGTGTGAGCAACAAAAATTGATCTGAAAGTGTGGCGTCCTCTCGTTCTCTGCTCTTTCAGTGGGAGCTGCAATCCCGAGCTGCTAGTGATCGGCCATCTTGGATCTCTCTCAAGTTGTCCAAGTTCTTATAGATCATGGAGGCAAGATGGAATATAGGCTAACTGCCTCCAAATTCCATACTTTTATCTATGGTCAGGCTCAAAACAGTTGTGTCATTTGGTGTAATACTAAGGGTTTTGTTTTCATTTCTGTTCTTGGAATGTTGCTGGTGAAGTGGAGTAACAAGGCTGAGCAAAGACCAAGTTCGTATACATGAATTAGAGAGACTTTTCTATAAAATATTCATTTACTGAGGGAAAAAGGGAAGAAGTATTTTATGCTAGGTATATTCTTAGGATGCAAATGAGAAAGGAGAAAAATAGCTGAAAACCAGACAAGATAATGAATATCCTCCTTAGATGGACCTCAACCTGATCTAATTTGTAAGGAGTCAAGATTTCCAAGTCTCAGTGTATGTGGGCTCTAAAAATCCTCATTGGTAGGTCCCACAATTTTGAAGAAGGAAGAATCTACAGAAAACAAATCTAAACTAACAATGATACAGAACTGAATAACTTGCATTTCTGTATGCAGTTGAATACGTATTATTCATTGTCTACTAAGCAAGGTATAAGGGACCAATACATTTAATATTTCTAAATTACATTTTTATTATTGAACATATTGAGGCTCTAATGCCGCAACCCAAGGAATCAGCATATGTTACATAGAAATGGCCAGAGATTATATGTTATTCAAGAATTCATTCTTAGTAATGCATCATTTCTGATATATTGACTTGGTTGTGAATATTATTTGCTGACTTTTTAACTTTTAATTATAAATTTTTATCTGTTCAGTATTTTGCGGGTTGTTTGTATAACCCTAGAGCAGGTGCTGATGCATATTTGCATATTTGTGGTCTATAATTTTTCAATAGCTAGGCTTTAAGACATTTATACGTAGTAGTTGAAACATAAATCTTCCATATCTCTATTTCTAAAGAAACATATTCTTCCCAAAATTGCTTGTAGAGTGTGATACTTCATTGGTGATCTGCAGTATATGGGCTTGAGCAAAATGCATATAAACATTGCAAAATAACAATGAGGCATGTGTAATAAAATTACTTCCTTTTAAAAGATGAAAATAAGGGCAATTTGCTTATTATAGATCCTTAACATTAAAAAATTATATTCATTTTGTATTAGTTATTATTGCATAAGAAATTATTCCAAAATTAGAGACTTAAGACAACAGTATGTAGGTATGTATAACTTAGTGTGTATTACTTTATGGTGTTTGTGGGTGAGTCATTTCTAATGGACACATTGGGATGGCTTGCTTCAGCTCTGTGATGTCTAGAATCTCAACCAGAAGATGTAAAATTTGGGAACCTGAAGTTATCCAAAGGTTAAGCCTGGAAGATCTATTTCCAATTTCATTTAAAAAAGCAAGATGGAAGCAACAATTCTGGCATCACAAATAAGACTTCGCCAGTATATAGCATCCTGTTATTTAGATGGTACCACTAATCAGGCTTACATTTAAGGGATCATAGGTAATTAGGGTGAGAACTATAGAATACTCGGCAAACCCCTACACTTAGAGACTTCACCAAACTCTAGCATGACTTCTAGCAGCATAAGGCTATGTCTCTAGGAGACCCTGAGCCCTTTTAAAGTTATCTCCTGAGAAACTTTAGTGCTGCCAGGAAAATCTACAATTTGTTCTAACCAACACACACCAGAAAGGCTCCTGTTCTACCTTTTTTGAGCATTTACTACAAAGGGTTTGCAAATATAAATCTGTGTATCTTGCAACTCAAGAGAATCTCTCTCAAAGACCTGAGAGCCATTTCTTTAAAATGTAATCATTAAGAATTGCCTGAACCCAGGAGGCGGAGGTTGCGGTGAGCCGAGATCGCGCCATTGCACTCCAGCCTGGGTAACATGAGTAAAACTCTATCTCAAAAAAAAAAAAAAAAAAGGATTGAGTTTATCCCGATGGCTGATTTGCTGGGTGGGCCAGAGGGAGGGGATATGAGTGCTTCCTTTTCTGGGCCACCACCTCCCCTCCCAGCAGCAGAAGCCCAGCAACCACACCACACGCCTTGGTCCTGTGCACAGAATGCCTTTATTCCTGGGCTGGCATCTGGATGTGGAGGACACAGGGACTCACAGATTCTCTGGTGGAAGAGGAGGGGCAGTCAGGCCCTGGGTCCAGACTGACCAGTCTGTGCGTGCAGAGACCAAGTGGGGCGATAGAGCCAGCTGGGGACCTTGGGGCAGGGACCCAGGCTGGCCTCCAAGTGCATGGGCCTGGATGGGGCTGGGTGAGGCCCCTGCGTGGGTGTGGTCAGGGTGGCCACTGGGCCCGGCCTTTCTCAGCGGCCCTGAGCCTGCAGTCTCTGCATCTGCAGAATCTGGCTGAGAATCTGCTGCACGTCTTCATCCATCTGGCCCTAGGATGAGAGGAATAGAGGGCGACTCTGAGTGCACCCCCAGTGGCTTCCCCAGGCCCCCCACCACTCCCATAGACCAAGCCAGCCAGGAGGGAAATGCACAGAGGCAGGCTCCAACATGCCATGAACCTCTCCCCAGGACCAGCCTCCCACTGTACAGAAGGGGAAACTGAGGCCGAGAGAGCAACAGTGGCACACCCAAAGCCACCCAGGCACCTGGGAGTTAGGCCACTCACCTGAATGGCGTATAGGAGGTGGCTTCTGTACAAAGCCACCACGCTGGAGTGGTCCCTGGCAGCTTCCTGTGGGTATAAGGGAGGGGTGCTCAGAAAAGGAGGACCACCTCCTTGCTGAGGAAAACACACCAAAAAGCGCCCTTTGTACCCCAAGCCTGTATTTTGATGGCATACACCAGGTGACGGCCGGCTGCTAAAATATGGAAATATGGCTGGGCACGGTAGCACATATTTGTAACCCCAGCACTTTGGGAGGCTGAGGCGGGCGGATCACCTGATGTCAGGAGTTCGAGACCAGCCTGGACCAACGTGGTGAAACCCCGTCTCTACTAAAAATACAGTAATTTCCCAGGCAAGGTGGTGCACACCTATAATCCCAGCTACTCGGGAGGCTGAGGCAAGAGAATCACGTGAACCCAGGAGGCAGAGGTTGCAGTGAGCCAAGATCCTGTCACTGGTGACAGAGTGAGACTGTCTCACAAGAATACACACACACACACACACACACACAGAAATATGGTTCGGCATGGTGGCACATGTTTGTAATCCCAGCATTTTGGGAGTCTGAGGCGGAGAACTGCTTGAAGGCAGGAGTCTGAGGCTGTAGTGAGGGATGATTGCACCACTTCACTCCAGCCTGGGAAAGAGAGCAAGATCCTGTATCCAAAAAAAAAAAAAAAAAAAAAAAGCAGGCACTGGGGCACAGTGGCTCATGCCTGTAATCCCAGCACTTTGAGAGGCTGGGGAGAGCCCAGGAGTTCAAGACCTGGCCAACATGGCAAAACCCCATCTCTACTAAAAATACAAAAATTAGCCCAGTGTGGTAGTGTGTGTGCGCCTGTAATTCTAGTTACACAGGACACTAAGGCAGGAGAATTGCTTGAACCGGGAAGGCGAAGGCTGCAGAGGCTGCAGTGAGCCAAGATCTTCCCACCGCACTCCAGCCTGGGTGAGGGAATGAGACCCTGTCTCAAAAAAAAATAAAGGAAATATTTCCTGGCCACACTGGGCACGTGACGTGTGCTCCACCTACTTACCCCAGCCTCCTCCTGAGATTCCCACCAGTGCTGAGCTGGTCGGTAGATGTTTATGTGGACTCCTCTCCCCCTGCCCGGCCCTTACCTGCAGCTGCTGCTGTAAACCCTTCACCTGGTCACGGAGAGCCTCCACCTCGGGGGTGGCCAGGGCAGCCGGCTGCTCCTTCAAGGCCTCCTTAAGACTGAAGACTTCTTTGGAGAGTTCTGTGATCTGAGGGTGGGGGGGTTGTCAGCGGTCACCCTCAGCCCAGGGCTGGGGGCTGGGGACCTCTCTGAAGCTGCAGGAAGAGGCCAGGGAGGAAGGCTTTCAAGGGAAGGTCCCACCCCTGGGGTTACCAAACTTTGGTCCGAGGGTCATGCCTGGCCCACAGCCTGTTTTCTTTTTTTCTTTTTCTTTTTTTAAATAGAGATGGGGTTTCTCCATGTTGGTCAGGCTGGTCTTGAACCCCCTACCTCAGGTGATGCACCCACCTCGGCCTACCAAAGTGCTGGGATTACAGGCATGAGTCACCACATCTCTTAAAGCTTTAGTTAGCTCATCTGGAAAATGGGGATGAAAATCCTTTCTGAAACCAGGTGTGGTGGCTCACACCTGTGTTCCTACTATTTTGGGAGGCTGAGGCAGGCAGATCCCTTGAGCTCAGGGGTTTGAGACCAACCTGGGCAATATGACGAAACACAGTCTCTTAGAAACAAAAACAAAAACAAACAAACAAAAAACAGGCTAGGTGTGATGGCTGACGCCTGTAATTCCAGCACTTTGGGAGATCAAGTCACCTCAGGTTGGGAGTTCGAGACCAGCCTGACCAACATGATGAAACCCTGTCTTTACTAAAAATATAAAAATTAGTTGGGCATGGTAGTGCACTCCTGTAATCCCAGCTACTTGGGAGGCCGAGGCAGAGGAATCACTTGAACCCGGGAGGCGAGGTTGCAGTGAGCCGAGATCATGCCACTGCACTCCAGCCTGGGTGACAAAGTGAGACTCTATCTCAAAAAAGAAAAAAAAAGAAAAAAGAAGTGGCCAGGTGCAGTGGCTTACACCTGTAATCCCAGCACTTTGGGAGGCCAAGGTGGGGGAATCACAAATTCAGGAGTTCAAGACCAGCCTGGCCAACATGGAGTAACTGCGCCCCCGCCACCGTCTCTACTAAAAATACAAAATTAGCCGGGCATGGTGCCCCATGCTTGTAACCCCAACTACGGGGGAGGTAGAGTTTGCAGGAGCTGAGATCGCGCCATTGCACTCCAGCCTGGTCAACAAGAGTTGACTCCATCTAAAGAGTGATCCACGGCCGGGCGCGGTGGCTCAAGCCTGTAATCCCAGCACTTTGGGAGGCCGAGGCGGGTGGATCACGAGGTCAAGAGATCGAGACCATCCTGGTCAACACGGTGAAACCCCGTCTCTACNAAAAAAAAAAAAAAAAAAAAATCTAAAAGCCAAATAATTATAAAGTGACCAAAAAGTTCTTACATTTTTATTTTTAGTATTTTCCAAACTACTATATTTACCAGCTCTTGTGGCTTCTTTCTATTTAGAAAATAAAGACCCACAAACACAATAAAGTAATAAATACTTAATGTTGTCTTAAGTCCCTAATTTTGGAATAATTTGTAATGCAATAGATCACTAATACAAAATGAACACTTTTTTTAAAAAATATTAAGGATTTATAATAAGCAAAACGCCCCTTACCTTCAGCTTTTAGAAGGAAGTTTTATATAGACATACTCAGTTTATTCTGCTTTACTTTATTGAGCTTCACAGATACTGTGTTTTTTTTTACAAATTGAAGTTTTCTTACAAATCTGTATCCAGCAAGTCTATTGGCACCATTTTTCTGACAGCATGTGTTCCCTTCATGTTTCTGTGTTACATTTTAGTAATTTTCACAATATTTTAAACTTTTTAATTATTATTATATCTGCTATGGTGACCTGTTAATAGTAATTTTTATGCTAGTATTCTAATTGTTTAGGACTCCTCAAACCATACCTATATAAGACACCAAACATAATTCATAAATGTATGTATTCTGACTGCTCCACCAAGTTGTTCTTCCCCTATCTCTCTGCCTCTCTTGGACCTCTTTATTCTATGAGACATAAGAATATTGAAGTTAGGCCAATTTATAACCCTACAATTGTCTATAAGTGTTCATGTAAGAGGAGGAGCTACACAATACTCACTTTCAATTAAAAGCTCAAAATGATTACGTTTAGTGATGAAGGCATGCCAAATGCAGAGATAGGCTAAAAGCTAGGCCTCTTGGGCCAAATGGCAAGCCAAGTTGTGAAGTAAAGAAAAAGTTATTGAAGGAAATTAAAAGCACTACTCCAGTGAACACAGGAATGACAAGAAAGTGTGAAACATCCTTATTGCTATTATAGAAAAAGTTGTATCAATCTGGATATATCAAACCAGCCACAACATTCTCTCAAGCAAAGCCTATTCCAGAGCAAGGTTCTAACTTTCTTTAATTCTACGTAGGCTGAAAGAGGTGACAAAACTGCAGAAGAAAATGTGGAAGCAGAGTTTGGTTCAAGAGGTGTAAAAACAGTAGTTATTTCTGTAACAAAAGTGCAAGGTGAAGCAGCAAGTGTTGAATTAGATTCTACAGCAAGTTACTTAGAAAATTTGGCTAAGATAATTAATGAAGATGGCTACACTAAGAACAGATTTATAATGTACATGAAACAGCCTTATATGGGAAGAAGATACCATCTACCATTTCTATAGCTAGAGAGAAAAAGTCAATTTTTGGCTTCAAAGCTTTAAGACTTTGAAGCTTTAAGACTGACTTACTTATTTGGGGCTAATGCAGTTTGTGACTTCAAATTGAAGCTAATGCTCATTTACCACTCTAAAAATCATAGACCCTTAAGAATTACACTAAATCTATTCCACCTGTGCTCTATAAATGGTGCAACAAACCCTGAATGGCATCACCTATTTACAGCATGGTTTATTAAATATTTTAAATTCATTATTGATGCCAACTGTTTAGGAAAGAAAAAAAGAATTTCTATCAAAATATTAGTGCTCATTGACAATGCTCCCAGTTCCAGGAGTTCTGATGAAGATACACAAGGAGATTAATGTTGTTTTCATGCCTGCTAATACAACATTCACTACACCACATATGGCTCAAGGAGTAATTCTGACATTCAAGTTTTATTAGCGAGAAATACTTCTAGGCAGGCCGTGGTGACTCATGCCTTCAACCCTAGCACTTTGGGAGGCTGATGCAGGCAGATCACCTGAGGTTGGTAGTTTGAGATCAGCCTGGCCAACATGGCAAAATCCTGTCTCCACTAAAAATACAAGAATTAACCGGGTGTGAAAGTGGGCACCTGTAATCACATCTGCTCAGGAGGATAAGGCACTAGAATTGCTTGAACCCTGGAGATGGAGGCTGCACTGAGCCGAGATCACACCACTGCACCCAACCTGGGCAACAGAGAGAGTCTCAGTCGAAAAGAAAAAAATAATCTGAGCAGTAACTGGCACAGATAGCTATTCTTCTGAAGGTTCTGAGCAAAGTAACTTAAAAGCCTTCTGAAAAAGATTCAGCATTTTAGATGCCATTAAAAACAATTGTGATTCATGGTAGAAGGTAAAAATGTTTACATTAAAAGAAATTTGGAAGAAGTTGATTACAATCCTCATGTCTGACTTTCAGGCATTCAATCCCTCACTGGAAAAAGTAACTGCAGATGTGGTAGAAATATCAAAAGAACTAGAATTAGAAGTGGAGCACATAGATGTGACTGAATTGCTGAATTCTCATGATAAAACTTGAACAGATGAGGGAGTTGCTTTTAAGGATGAGCAAAGAAAATGGTTTCTTGAGATGGAATCTACTTTTGGTTTAGATGCTGTGAACATTGTTTGGTTTTTGTTGTTTTTTTCAATCCTCAAAGACATCTGAAATATGACCACTGTTGAAATGACAATAAAGGATTTAGAGTATTATCTAAACTTAGTTGATAAAGCAGAGTCTGGGTTTGAGAGGATTTACTCTAATTCTGAAAGAAGTTCTACTGTGGGTAAAATGCCATCAGATAGCAATCTTCCATGAAAGGAACAGTCAATCAATGTGGCAAATTTCACTGTTGACTTATTTTTTATTATTTTTTTAAAACACAGTCTCACTCTGTCTCCCAGGCTGGAGTAAAGTGGCATGATCTCGGTTCACTGCAACCTTCACCTCCTGAGTTCAAGAGATTCTCCTGCTTCAGCCTCCCTAGTAGCTGGGATTATGGGCACCTGCCACCATGCCTGTCTATTTTTTTTTAATTATATTTTTAGTAGAGATGAGGTTTCACCATGTTGCCCACGCTAGTCTCAAACTCCTGAACTCAGGTGATCCGCCCACCTCGGCCTCCCAAAGTGCTAGGATTACAGGCGTGAGCCGCTGTGCCTGGCACTGTTGTCTTATTTTAAGAAATTGCCACAGACATCTCAAACTTCAGCAACCATAACCTTATTCATCAACAACTGTCAACACTGAGGTAGGATGCTTCACCAGCAAAAAGATTACAACTTGCTAAAGACTAGATGATTGTTAGCATTTAGCAATAAAGTAGTTGTAAATTAAAATGTCATTTTTTAGACACAATATTAAATGATAAGCTACAGTATGGTGTAAATGTAATTTTTACATCCAATGGGGAACCGAAAAGATTGTGTGGCTCACTTTATTGCAATATTCTCCTTATTGCAATAATCTGGAATTGAACATACAATATCTCTGAGGTATATCTGTAGTCATGAAGTCAAATATAAGTTCAGTAGCCACTAGCCTCACCTGTTTTCTGGGCAGTTGCTTTATTACTAATTCATGTGCGGTTTATTACCGAGTCTCTGTTGATGTCTTAGATCAGTGAAGAACTTACATCAGTGAAGAACACTAATTCACAGGCGTTTAGAGAAAGTTTATCTCAGTTTGCAAACAGTATGAAGGCAGGTACATTAAGTATTTATTATTTTTATCACTGCCTGACACATTGTTCAAAAGTATCTCTGTGGGAAATCCATGCAGGAACTTCAGCCTACGTATCTAAAATAAGTTAATTGAAAAAAACAAAAAATAAATAAACTTTATTATTATATATTTTTTCTGAACAAAAACACACAGAATAATGACAATTTTACATATCATACATGATACGGTTTGGCTATGTCCCCACCCAAATCTCATCTTGCGT